CGAGAGCATGCTGGAAGTCAAGCTCGGTATCCTCCCTCTCAAATTTGCTGCTACTTTTCTTTCCTTGTTTGTTCATAGGGATAGTCTGGGGAGGGATGAGGGCATAACTTTTCTGTCCAGCAGAGGTATGCACATACTGACCCCAATAGAGTTGCCTGATGCTCGACTCCCCCAACAGGGGTCCTTCCATCTGCATTGTTCACAAAAGCTCTTTCCTTTTCTCAAATTCAACCTTCACTAATAGTATTTTTCCTAGCTGCTTGAACTCAGATGGTCCTGAAGATGAGAGAGTTCAATGCAATAACTTCTATGAAGCTCAAGCTAGCAGTTGCCACCAGTGATAATTCTTTCAAAAAATACAAATGGTATTAGAATTTAAAGTTAGGGAAACACAATAAATGTGTTACAGACACACGTATATATAGCCACATGTATAATCTTTACAGTAGAGAAAAGAAATTTTAAGAGTCAGCAAGTATAGTATTTTTATAATGCTTTACATTGCTTGGTTATAATTGTCACAATTTCCATAACTTGAAAATTCTTCATTGAATTCATTAAATATTTCCTATAATTAAGTCAATTTTATTAATTTTGTTTGGTAATATACCAGTGTAAGTCATAACGTTAAATATAATAATGATATTATCAGTATGTTGTAGAGGTAAAGCTAGTACTACAAGAAAATCATGCCAAAATTTTTTGAGGTGTACAAGTATTTAATTTGTAACACAGCATAATCTCTTTACTTCCAGGAATTCTGAGAAACTCTCAAGTGTATTACTAAATTGGCAGAGAGACTCAAGTCTTATTTCTTACTTATTTGTACAAGGACAAATTATATATTAGACCAAGAAAGATGGGGAATGATTGATTCATAGCCAAATGAAAGCATCTATACAGTATGTACATCAGAACAGTGAACTGCTATTGTTTTAACACATAATACAAAACTTTATAATAAGGCAAATTCCACATACATACAAAATACAGTAAATTTGAAATGGAAAAAACTGGATAGTTATTTTGATATTTAAGACAGACTCTTGTTAGTCAAAAATATTATATCTTGAGTAGTGGATAAAAATGAAATTTGATTTTGTATTTCACACAATTGCTTGAGTTTAATATATTTTTATTTCTATCAGAGAAGAAAGACAACATCATTTTTGTGGAGAATGTGATTAAGGTGTATGTCATTAAAAATAATTGGGTGGGATGCTGTGGGACTTGGTTAGAAATAATGTCTATGAAATATTTCAGATTCTTAAGGTACTATATAAACACAAAATAATATATATTACTGTAAATTGAGAAAAAAAATTAGTTGTTGGAAGTCAAATATAAACTGAAAGACAGGAAAGTAGGTTTGCTATTTCTAGGTCACTGCTTAATATAATAGTTCAGAGAACTTAGAATCTTACAGATGTAGCTAGATACTACTTTACAATTAATATATTTTTATGAGTTTTTTGATAATTTTATATGTTTGGTTTTTGTTTTTGTGGCACTGGAGACTGAACCCAAGAGTGTTACTATTGAGAAACATCTGCAGAACTTTTCTTTTAATTCTGAGATAGGATCTCACTAAATTGCTTTAACTGGCCTCTAACTTCTGGCCATCTTTCTGGCCTCTAACTGGCCATCTTTCTGCCTCAGCCTTCCACCTAGCTTGGATTACTGATGTATTTTTAATTCATCAGAATTTTTTTGTTTGTCATGCCAAGGATTGATAGGTATGAGACTATATTGGTTGTTTTTTTTTTTTTTTCTTGTTGCTGAGATAAAATACCTGATGTCCAAAGTGAAGGAAGGAGAGGTTTATTTAGCTCACAGTTTGTGAAAGTTTCAGTCCATAATCAGCTGGCTCCAAGGCAGAGTGGCACATGGCAGCCGAAAACCGTTCCTGGTGGCAGAAAGCAGAAAAGAGCACAAGTAACAAGAGCAAAAGGGGAGAATTCCAGAAAGAAGACACTTTTTTCCTTATACTGTATGTAGGTTACACCCACTTGGGTGTAGCACTCACACCCATAATCCCTGCATTGGACTGTGAGTCATTGACAAACCCTCAACGCTCACCTCCATGACTCATGAGGCTTTGGGGGGACATCTAGACTCAAACCATAATGGATCCATTCTTCTAATAGTGAGATAATATAAAAAGCACTGATGAAAAACTTTGCACAACAAATAGAATTCTGATATGACAGCCATTTCATATATAGAGGAGACGAAGAATAAATCATTAATAATTATTCAAGTAATAAATAGGAAATAATTTAAGCCTTGTCCTTTTGATTTCTCAACCTAAGTTTTTGATTCTTAGTCTGCTGCCCTCATGATAAAGAATAAAATTACTGATTTTGAGTAATTTTACCTTAAATATGGCAATATATGTGATTTGATCTAATAAATATAATTTTGAAATTAATAATAAACTTAATTATTGGTGACAAGAATTACTGATTAGCAAATTTAATTAACTAAATCTTCCATCTACAAGGAACAGAACATTTTAGATAAGAAGCCAGACTTCAAAATAAATCATAAAAACATTTACGAGAAAGTCCTGCTAGCAACATCTCTGGGCATGTTTCTAAGACATATTTCTTTCTGTAATATAAGTAGTCTATGGGGAAAACAGAGTCACACTAATCTTCAAGGAATCACAAGCAGGGAAGGAGGAGGACAATTAGTGGATTCAAGGAATTTCCTCTATGCTCTTAAAGGGACACAGTACCCACAACCCGAAGAGGTTGAGTCAAAGTAACATTGTTGAAGATATTTTTGTGTGAGGCTAGATGGATACAAGCAAAACTATGTGATTATTTCGCTACTTAAAGAATGATTAGTATTTTAAAAAATGAGAAGGGCAAAGAGAAGACACAGTAGATAACTTTAGTGCTTGTGAATAAGCATTCCAGATTTGAGAAATCAAGTGAATTCTATTGGTGGAATTTACTTTAATACAGTAGAATAACCTGTTCAAGATGGGCACTGAAGCAGTCTCTTCTACACATGAAATCATTGTCATTTCAGAACTAATGTCTCTTCTATATATAAAATATAAGAATCTCCTCCACTTCTGTCTGTTCATAAAGCTGTCAGTAGGTCCACAGAGGAACAGCTAAACTAACAGAGGCCAGATTCAGGCAGTGGGTCCCGTGAACAAGTCCTCTGGGTACAAATGGTACTGTCTCAAAGCTTCTCACGTTCAGTGAGGCCACATATTAACTTAGTGCTTCATAAACCCATTCTTTTTTTTTTTTTTTTTTGTACCAGGAATCAAATTCAGGACTTTGTGCTTGCCAGGCAGGAGCTGTGCTGAGCTGTCTCTGGCCCATACGTGCTCTCAGAATGACACTATTTGCCAGCGGAAAGCACCTCAAGGCAGTGGGGACTTTGGCAAAGTGGAACTCACTGAGGAAGAAAGACTTAGGTTGTAGTCCAGATTATTTGCCGAATGAAAAAGGAGAAGTATATACCACTTTTGTGCTAAGAAGTGAGGAGAAGAGGAAGCTTAGGGGAACTTCCTCCCATAGGGGGAATCACCTGTGACCTCCAAAACAATGGGGTAGAAACTGTATCTTTCGTCTTTGCAGGGTTTTGTTTTAATTTATGTCTAAAATCAACAAAACTGACAGTGGAATAACCAGTGGTTATTCAAATGTTTGCCCCCTAAAACTATAGACCAAAACATAATTTTTAGCTTCTCTTCCCTTAAAAGTAGAAAATATCTGTCATTAATTTTCAGACTTAAAAAACTGTGTAAGTAGAGACCACCATCAATCAGTATTTGAAGTGGTCAAGAATCAAACTAAGTGCTTTCCAATAAAAGAATATAGGCTTAAATTCCAATTCCTCCCTTTACTGATTCTATAACTTTAGGAAAGTTAATTAATCTCTCTGAGACTCAGGTTTTTAATATTTTTAAATTTTAAATTTTAAAAACTAAGAAAAACATCAGGAAGTTATTGTAAGAATTCAATGAATAAAGGTTTTTAGTGCAGTACTTGGCATATAGCAAGAATTCGGGATAGCAAGGATTAAAAATATAGTATTTTATATAAATAGATGCATTGTACATAGATTCTTATATGCATATGCACATGCACTTATCTTTCAAATATAATTTAAAATATATTTATAATTGTATATTATATTTGTATAACATATCTTTGAAATTTCTGAGTTTTAGGCTCTGAGACATTAGGAATAGGACTCAGTATTCAGCAGGCCACTGTAGCAAATTTTCTTTTTGGGCTTCTGTTTATCATGGCTAACTTCACATTCAATTTATATTGCATCTGAATTGAAATGCTACTGCCTGTTACAGGTAGGGATTTCCTCAATACAACTCTCCTGCTTCAAATCAAGCAAACAGAATGTTTACTTGAATATGAAACTAATACAATCCTCAGAAAAAGCCAGCTGTGTTTCCTGTCTGAAATGGAGGTAATGTGCTTGCAGACACGGTTCGGAGCATCGAATGAGTTCCATAAATTGCCATCTCCCAAGTTTATCTTACTTAGACAACACCTCTCTCCCTAATCCACCAGCCACCTGATGTGTTTTTTATGTGTCACTTGAACTGAATCACAGAAAATAAAATGAAAAAAAAAAAAAAAAAAACCCGAAAACTTTAGTATCCCTTCACTAGTACATTTACCTGGTTTATATTCAGGTTTCTCTCCAGATTCTCAGTTTTATAGTAACCTCAAAATTATCTGCTAACAGTTTAGTTATTGTATGCCCATTATAGCCTCACCAAAATTTACAAAAATGAAAAAAAAAATCATATGCAACTGTACACCCAACATAAAGTGTTTACTATTTTCCATTACTTAAACATGCAAATAAATATGAAAATTATACTTCTGTGTTATCCAATTCTGACATTTGTTTAGTGTCTCCACAGAAATTCTGCTATGTGACTATCTCTGAGTTGGAATTTTAACTGAATAAATTATTCCTGGTCTTCTGAATTATTTATCTTGGTTGCATGATATGCAAATTAGTCTGTATTAACCATGTCCAGCAGCACAGCACTGGGTCAGAAGCTGTATTCAGTTGCTGGCAGAGGTTCTGTCGAGGGAGAGGCCTTCCAACAAAATGGTAAGCTGGGCTGCGTCTCTGGTATCTCAGATACAGAAAGGACTGTCAGGCTGCTGGCTGGAGACGGGGGTCTTAAAAAGTGGTCTGTGTGCAGTGAATGTTTATGTGTCAGTAAGCTATTCTTAAGTAGATCTAAACCAGTGAAAGACAGCAAAAGAAAGTTATAATTGCTACCTTCACATTTATTTTTTTCAAAATTAAATGTTTTGTCTTAATTGCCAATACCAAGTATATTTTATTTAAACAAGACTAGCATATTTGCTAATGTCTCAGTAATGTATCTTTCACCAAGACTAAGAATTTGTTTTACTGGAATAAACATAACTATTTGCAGAAAAAGATCCAAACCTACATGAACCAAGCTATCATGCTTACTTTGTGTAAAGAATAATGTTTTAGAGGACAACTGTAAGTGTCCTAAATATTACATTTAGCATTTATTTGTAATAAAATGAGAAGATGCAAGGACATAGTTTAGTAAAGGAAGTAGAAAATTATAAAAACTCTTATCTATCATTTAGAATCTCTCAAAATTCCCTAATATTCTTAAAAGAAATTATTAAATGTAAAATTTGACGTCACACAATAACTTTTTATTAATTTACTGATTTATGGTGTATATAAAAAGAGATATAAATATTAAATTATTGCATCTTTCAAATATGAATATTTTTATTTACATTGTTTAGTAATGAGAGAGATAATTTGTAAGTCTGCATTATAATAGCAGTTAAAAATTGAAATACTTCAATATTTGATGGTCATAAAAATTAAGTTCTGGAAAACATCAAATATATTATTTTCAAAATTCAATTTGCAAAAAGTGTACATTTTTAAGATGATGAATGCATTTTAAATGAAAGAATTCTCAACTTTAACATGAGTACTGCTAATCTGTTTATGCAAATAATTTGGATACTGCTTCTAGCTTATAAATTCTCACAGGGTTAGAAATAGTTTTGGACTGGGAACTAATAATTTCACTCAAATCTCTGGTACTTTTTAACAAAATTGTTAGAAATAATTTAAGTAAGTTTTAATCTATTTTATTCCTGCCTGCATTTCCTGTTATAACTACTGAAAAGTGAAAGAGAAACTGCTAATTTTCCATGAAAATGTTTTCTCTTTAACCAGGAGTATTCGTTCCCATTTTGTACAACCACTCTAGCTACATTGAAAACGCTCAGTATGTAATCATATTTGTTATAAAAATGTCTTCATAATTGCAGATCCTCATGAAGTTAAATTGGCCTGCAAATGTTGAACAACATACTCATAAAATCATAATTTATAAATATCATAAACTTAGAAAAAATTTAAGCATGAAATAAATGCATCAAAGAAGTGAAAATATTAATCTTATATTCATAAATAAAAATACAAATAAATATTAAAGTTTAGAAAGGTACTCAAATACTAAGAATAGTTAGTGGTAAGCCTTACTTTTTCTTATTGTTTACTATGGTATTACACTATTAAAATGCATTTTGTCTATAAATTTTGAAAAGTTATTTTTAAAAAAAGTAAAGCAGGCAGATTATGAGAAGCAAGACAATGGTATTAATGAGTGAAAGAAAGGAATAAATAAATTCAGCCATTTATTTTTATTTCAACGGTAGTATTCTCAGTCCTTATTCTCAAACTCTTTGGACCACCGGAAAGCAGCTCCTCTCTCTCTTCCATGTGTTCTGTAACTTGTCTGAGTAGTGGTCCTTGGTAATTTGATCTCAAGTCACTTAAATGTTCATGGATTTTTTTTTTATTCATGCCAACCAAAGTTGTCTTCTGCACATAAGTTACATAAACTACTGACAAAATTCAGCTGTTAGTTGCACAAATGTGATCTGATTATGACAGAAAAAATAAGAGAAGACAAAAAATGAATTTCTTGTCTTAATTTTCAGTTGAATGTGTGTACTAGCCTTTTGAGTACTTGCAAAGTGATGAAAGTGTCCAAAAGTGAGCTTTGAGAAAATAACTTTTTCAAGCGTGATCAAAGAATCATCCATAAAAGAGTCTGTAAATGGAGAGACATTAGAGATAAGGAGATTGGCATCACAGAAGACTAGAAAGAGAACTTTTCCAGAGTACATGGAATTGAATGCTGCAAGAAATAGTTGATGATAATAGTGAAAAAAAGGCTATCTATCTAAAAAACAAAACTTTTTAAGCCTTTTAAAAATACATCTACTCTTTTGGAATATTTCTAGAAATTTAAAACAATATTATCATATATATATACTGTTTTAGTTAAAAGAAAAATAATAGAAAAGAAAAAAAAGAAAAGGTGGAAAGTTCGGGTAACCCTAAAGAAAAAGGCAGAATAAAAAGTTTTAGGAATCTGATTGGCAGGGACAAAACTATGACACTTTGGTACATATCTCTGCTTATGGGGATAAAAATGTACCAAGGTACATTTTTGTTAATTTTAGTTATAAATTTTTAATTAACTGCTTCAATTTTTTTTGTTTTGTTTTGATTTTTCCTTGTATTTTTACCGGTACCAGGGATCGAACTCACGACCACATGCTTGCAAGGCAGGCACTTATGCCGCTGAGCTAAATCCCAGCCCCAACTGCTTCAATTTTTTAAAATGATCCTAGATTATATATAATATTAAATGTTACTTTAAATAACCATATTTCACATCACAGCGATCACTAAAATGTTGCCAATTTTGAACATTTATGATATAGAGTGTCAACTTTTATAGCAAAATAGAGCAATAGACTCAATTTCATAGACATGCTACTTATCTGAACTTGGAGAAAATATTTATAAAAGAGCTTTGTAAATAGATATTTATAGCCATCTCTGTTTAACACACATCTTCAGACCCACTATTATCCTCTGGTCACGGTGCCACTTGTAAAAGGTAAAAAGTGAGTCGAACAGAGTTTTGAGAAATGCTAATAAATTCAGTACACAATGAAAGCATGAACCAGAGGACTTCACATCGATGGATAGTCCAGGGAATATATTTTGGGAAATCTTCATTTGAACTGAAGCTTGAAAGTTATATGGATTGAATACACATTACAGGGTGGGTCAGAAGTCACAGGAGAAAAACAGATTCAGAAGAAGGGACTGAACAATGGAATTGCTTCCTGTGCTTTCTCAGAACAGAAGAAAGATGAGTATCAAAAAGTATAGCTCTAAGTGAAGCTGAAGTGCAGTACAAAGGTCAAATGATAAAACCATGTGTCCCTATGATGGATTTGGACTACAGAAACTCATTTAGAGATTTTGTGTGGCAAAATAGGCTAAATTTATATTGTCCAATATGGAGGTGTTGATGACCTGGCCTAGATGAAAGATTTGGAGCAATAGTACTAGATTTGAGAAACATCCATAAGTTATAGTCACAAAAACTTCACAGTTTGTTCATTATTGAAGATGAATTGTAAAAGGGTTTTGCTTCAATTTCTGTAGTAAGCACGTGGACAGATGCAGAACCAGTCATTTACTGATAGGTTGCTATGCTGCACGATTGATAAGAAAGCTGAAGAGTTTATGACTGTGAGAAATTAACCAACAACAACAAGTATAAACAGTTAGAGCCTTTAAGATACATCTGAACTGGGTTGGAAATCTGGGAGTTATTCATATATAGATGCTCATTAAATCAGAAAAGTGGATGAGTTCATCAAGACAGAACATAGAGAAAGGAACCTAGGGCCATGTTTTGAGGACCTAAACATTTAGTACTTGGGCCACAGAAAAACCTATAAAGCAGACCCAAGGAGAAAAAAGGAAAAGTACGGTAATATCATGACAGAAGACAAAGAGTGCCCAGACACTAAAGCTAGCTGAGAAGTTGAGACATGAAAAATGACCACTGGATTGAACAATGTGGCGATTATGTTAGTGAACTGGCAGGTCAGAAGCCAAATTCCAGTAAGTCGGCAACAATCTGATGTCAGGATGTCAAAACATCTAGTGAAACTCCTCTTTCAAAAATCAAGCTATGAAGAGGGAACATGTGAAACCAAGCCAAGTTGTTTGCAAGCACTCCTTGTTTTTGAGACTGATAAATCAACAGTGCTTAAATGTTGATAGAAAACATGCAGCTGAGATGAAGAAGGTAGTTGAAATGACAGAAGAAACAGATGCCATTAACAGCCTAGGCACCTTAAAACTTGGAGAATGACTAGGATCTGGTATAATTCCACTGATTAGTCTCTAATCCAATGAGCTAGAAGGCAAGTCATCTACTAGTGATTTGTGACAACGAATAGGACAGAATAAGTGGAAGAACTTTGCTAAGAACTGGGAAAATATAAAAACAAAAAAATGGAATAAATTTTAGGAATGTGAGAGGGGAATAGAAACTGGTAACTTCAAAGATAGAGTAAAGCCATCTGCTCAGCTTTTCCGCAGCAGTCCTGTACCTTTTGGCTGAGGAATATCTCATTAACTTTCATATGTTGGAACCTAACAGGGTTCAAAAGTAATATCATTGGGAAAATGATAAGTCATAAGGCTCTGCTTATGGGGATAAGTCATAAGGGATTAGCATCCTTATAAAAGAGACTTAAGAGGGCTGCTCCATCCCTTCCAGGCACAGTTACGAAAATGAAGCGACAGGTACCATTCTGGAGCAAAAAGTGACCTCTCACCGAAAATTGAATCTGCTGGCTCCATGTTCTTGTACTTTCCAGCCTGCAGAATAAAAAGAAAAGCATTTTTACTGTGTGTAAATTAGCCAGTGGAAGGTGTATGGCCATAGCAGTTGAAATAAACTAAACTAGCAAGATATTTAATTTTCCAAGCTTCAGGGGAGTCATACAAGTAAGAATAGCAATGTCCCCCACTTCCTTATGCCACTTGCACATGTCAAATGATTTTTCCATGGAAATTGTTGAGCAAAGAGCTTGTGCAATATCAACTTTCAATAACTAGCAGATGCTGATGATTTTCAGTTTAATGGTTCACATTTTAATAAGTTCTATTTTAAAACTGAAATTGTAATTTTTAAATTTAATAACAAGCAAATAGTTATAATATGGAAACAAGGAAAAGATATTAATATAGAAAGATTGGAATTCTAACAGTCTCTATATCTTATAGGTTATGGTACAATTCAGTTTAACTCAGCGGAAGTTTTGAACGACTACAATATGCAGGCGGCTACGGTAAGTTATAGAGATCTGACAGTGAATTAGACTTTCCTCCTAATCTACTCTTCCACACTTTCCCACAGCCTGTTAACTGTTTGTCAAGCCTTGAGTGTTTTCACTTGAAGGAACTGCACAAGCTCTTCCTATGTCTGGAGTACACTTCCTCTAGATAAAGATACGGTCACTTCTTCTAGATATAGATACAGTTCTTCCCTGTCTTCTCTGAAGCTTTCATTTAAACATTATCTCATAGAAATCCATGTGACTGGTGACCATGTGAAAAATAGCTCATTGCCCCCTTCTGATCCAAAACACTCATAACGTATTTACCCTTACTCATTTTTTTCATTCACAGAATTTTCCATTATATGGTACCATTTATTTACTTTTTAATTCTCCCCAAATGAGTATACAGTGGTACCTTGGTTCATGAATGTTTTTGTCTGTGAATAATTTGGTTTGCAAACAGAATCATTTGGCATGATTTTGTCTATGAACTCTGCATCAAGTGATGAACATGATCAGAGCCATCCTTCCCACAGAAACATCAATGTGACCAACTTTTCCAAATTCCATTTGTGAACCAAGATGCCACTGTACATTGTTTCAGATTAGGAACTTGATTTTGTCTACCAGTACTAATCCAGTGCTTAATTCATATTTCAAAGGACTCAATAAATGATTATAGGAATATTATTTGCCACATATGTAAGCCTTCATGCATGTATATATGTTATATATGTGTCCATCTCTCCACAATGTAACACGTTCTGCATTGTTCAGAAATCAGTGCTATTTTTAGGTTATTATACTCTGTGTAGCTTTGTTCTTAATCACATTCAAGTGGTTCATCTATGTTTTCTTTTTAGGAGTGGAATTCAACTTGTAGAAACTGGGAGGAAGCACAGTCTGCTTTGCAGAAGTACTACCTTTCTATTTTTTATGGGATTGAGTTCTGCGTAGGAACTCTGGGGAACATTGCTGTTGTATTTGGCTACCTCTTCTGTCTGAAGAACTGGAATAGCAGCAATGTCTATCTCTTTAACCTCTCCATCAGTGACTTAGTTTTTCTGTGCACTCTTCCATCGCTGATGAGAAGCTACGCCATCCAAAACTGGGTCTATGGAGATGTGTTCTGCGTAGTCAACCGGTACGTGCTTCACGCTAACCTCTACACCAGCATGCTCTTCCTCACTTTTATAAGCATTGATCGGTACATGCTCATGAAGTATCCTTTCCGAGAACACCTTCTGCAAAAGAAAGAGTTTGCTATTTTAATCTCTTTGGCTATTTGGGTTTTAGTAACCTTAGAGCTATTACCCATGCTTCCTCTCATACATCCCATTAAAACTGAACAAGGCACCTACTGTCCTGATTTTGCAAGTTCTGGAGATCCTCAGTACAACCTCATTTACAGCTTGTGCCTAACCTTATCGGGATTCCTTATTCCTCTTTTTGTGATGTGCTTCTTCTATTACAAGATAGCTATCTTCCTAAAGCAGAGAAGCAGACAGTTCACTACTGCCTTGCCCCTTGAGAAGCCTCTCCTCTTGATTATCATGGCAGTGGTGATCTTCTCCGTGCTCTTCACACCCTACCACGTTATGCGGAATGTCAGGATTGCTTCGCGCCTGCACAGCTGGAAGTGCAACAAATGCACTGAAGCCATCCTCACGTTCTTGTACACTATGACTCGGCCATTGGCTTTTCTGAACAGTGTTGTCAACCCTGTCTTCTACTTTCTGATGGGTGATCACTTCAGAGATATGCTGATGAGCAAACTGAGACACCACTTTAAATACCTTACTTCCTTCAGAAAATGAACCCATACTTTGTGGACTCAGACTTTGCTTTAAAGAAAAGTGAGCCGCTTGTGAAGCAGATTGTTTTGTGCCTGCAACTTTAAGCCAGTAAGAGTTGATTCTAGCAGATAGACGTGACTCAGAGAAGATCATAGATACGATATGACTATGGTTAACAACAGCTTGTATACAAAGTGTGGGGAAAGGGGAAGAGAATGTATTAATTTGTTCACTTAAGAATCGAAAGACGTTGGACTAATGCTGTCTAATGTTTAAGTGAGTTAGTCAAAATTCAGTATTAAGAGGACCTTTTTAAGCAGTGCAAAAGAATAAAAGATAAAGCCACGAATTATGTGCATTTAATCTTTGGTTAGATAGAAAAAATATTTTGCCCTCATCCCCATATTACACATTCAGTCTTAAAGCGTTGTGTGAGAACTGAATAGCAGAAAACTAGATATGTTTTATGTAATTTTGTTTCAGATATTGTGTACTTAAGAAAATTTTAGTAGCAACTATGGGTAATAAAGCAGTATAATGAGTTCAAGGATGCTTACATATTTCTTCATTTTGATCATGAATTGAGATTAGTTGGCAACTTTTCAGTCCTTTTTTGTTGTTGCACGTGCTTTATTAGACAGAATCTTAATTCAGGTTAATAGAACACAAGGGGATAAATCAACAGAGGGAGATAGCACATTTCCATTCAGCTGTAGGAAATTTAAGCGATTTAAGAAAAATTGCTACATTTCTTAAACAATTCCATAAATATTTCTTATATAATGTTATAAAATTTGTAGTATTTTTATCAAAATACTAAAAGCATGGCACAGATGGTTACAAAAATTTAAAGTTATAGAAGACAAAATACTGATCAGGAAATCCACGGGAAAAGAAAATGCAACAAAATAGAGTATATTCTTTTGGTTATTGTGATGGCTAAGTTTGTCAATTTGAATAGTTTGGGAGCTGCCCAGGGGATTAATAAAGCACATTTCTAGATGTGTCTGAGTGGGTCAAGGAGACATGACCTTGGTTACTATATCTGGTCTCTTACACTTTCCTCTATAATCCTGTTCTGTTTCTTTGCTTTCAGCTCCATCATCTAAGTTCTATTCCACCATGCCAATTTGTCATGTGTCTGCCTTGCAGTCAACTATTGACTGAACCTCCTGAAACCATGAGACACATTAAACCTTTCTTTCCTAAATTTGAGTACCAAATATTGTGTCTTAGCAACAAAAAATTCTGCCTCAACAACAACAAATTCTAACGCAGTGATGATTATTCCATCTAGAATTTTATTATAACAACTCAAACACCAGTGCATGGAAGTATGTTACAATTCCTTATCTTTTCTGCTCTTGATTAAGTAATGAATTTTAAAACATATTAACATCATAAAACCAATAAAAGTAATGAAATGATCTGACTTATTTGGTTATTTTTCCTTTTAAAAAGAGGAAGCTGCAGGTTTTCTTTCACCTTTTTTTAATAAGGAAAAGTAAAAATTGTGGGGTAATATACAATGGCCACTTTATCCAGAGAATAATTCATTTCTGGAGAAGATTTTTTCATAGAATATTGCATAAAAACATCATTGGAGGAGATATTCTAAATAAAATGCTCTTTAAGAAATTAAAGAAAATAAGGAATATTTATGTGCATGTTAAGATAGGTCATCTTAGGAGGATTAGTTTGGCATGATTCCTTGCCACAAAATGGAGGGGGCTATGAGCTACATTAACCTTTTAAAGTCAAGCAACATAATATTATAACTCACTTATATGCCACAAAATGTGACATGGCTATATGTGTAACTTCCTTTCCTTAATGTCATTAGCTATAAGGAATAATAGGAAACATAAAAAGCATAAGTGCAGAGACATAATAATCCATTGTCCTTTCTGGTTCTAAAGTACTCTAATGATGTTATATTCAAATATTGCCAAATCTCAAAATATTCCCAAGGAACACTTCTAGATTTGAAAAAATTAAAATATAAAAACACTAACAAATAATGTTTTTGTCTTTGGTGCCCAGAGACAATGAGGGACTCATGCATTCTAATCAAGCACTCTACCTCTGAGATACACTCTCAGCACCTAAGATTTTATTTTCTTGTAAAGTACCAGGGTTTGCAATACTTTTGTTATGGCTTGCTTTGGTATTGATATTTCTAACTCTTAAATGTAATTTTATCACTATCTAATAATAAACTGAAAACAGTTACTGAATTTCCTCAAAAAAAAAAAAAATGACCACAGAAAGGACTTTAGGAAACAATTATCTACTTGCTTGTAATCTGCCCAATGCATCCATACTAGATACTCAAGCAGAGTTTATATATAAGATGTGAGGTGGCCTTTCTGTGGCTCTTTTTCAAGATGTTCTCTCATCTTTCTGCTGCTGAGTCTACTTATAACTACCTTATTTTGCCATGACAGAGAGACTGAAGGCAGACAACTCTTAAAAGTCCAACAAGGACCAGCATCCATTATTTTAAAAAATAAATGGGCCTATCACTAGATGATTTTTTAATTTCTTTTCAGTACTTTTCTTCTTCCTGTGTGTTCATTCTTTTGTATATTTTTTAAACTCCTCACGTAGATTTTTTGTTGTTTCTGTTAGAGTATAAGAATCTGGCTTGCAGAAACTAAAACATTAACTGAAGTAAAAACTCTTTCCCTTTAGAAGGCAATACACTTAACGAGATAGCATAATTTTATGTCCTACAGTAGTTTAAGTTTCTACAAAGTGTTTTGAAAAAAATTCTTACATGCTTGCTTACTTAATATCATGTATAGTCAATTATTTCTTTGTTTACTCATACTACTCTCTCTCTGTCTCTCTCTCTCTCTCTGTCTCTGTCTCTCTCTTTCTCTCTCTCTCTCTTTCTCTCTATTTACCAGTTGTAAACTTAGCCTTTATGTTGGTTTCCAGGGAAACTAAAAAAGGCAACTTAAAGTTTTACTTGACTTGGGGGATGTATCTCAGTTAAACAATGTGTATAGAATGCGTTAACACCTAGGTTTAGGTCTCAGTAGCACACACGGACACACACACTCACACGATCATTGAAGACATATGTGGGTCCCTGCCTCTTGGCCACGTCCACCTCTTCCTCAGTCAAGGACAAGCAGAGCACTTTGTCTCTCATTGCATCAGTTACATTTACTTCCCCTCAAGATCTTACCAAGTACTTTTCTTAACAAATGAATTTGTGACATAAAATCTAAAAGAATTTTATGCTTCTCATTTATTAATGAAAAGGATTTAAAATGTTTTCTTATTTGTTGCTATAAAAAGGCAAGCAAAGATGTTGACTAAACATGCTAAAAATGTTGAAAAATGAGAATCAAATGTTTAGGCCATTTTAGTGAGACATGTGTGTTCATGTATAATTATCATGTAAATATATCATTTTATTTAATAAGATGGTAACTATGAGCACTGAACAGTTCTCTTTAACTTCCTTTAAGCACCCTTTTCTATCAAATGTTATTAAATTACATGTTCATCAATTAGGAATAAGATTTTAACTGATAATTTGTCAGGAAATTAAACAGAATATAGGCATATTTTACACATTTTGCATGTATAAAATAATATGTACAATCTGAAATTATAGCATATGCATATACTCATATGCATGCATATTTACAAATGGAATTTGTATAAATGTGGCAGAGGCCTTAGGTTTCACAGTTGTCATAACTCTGACTGTAACTACATGTTCAAATTTATGAAGAATCCCCATTTTTTGATTCAAGTCAACTGCTAGTAGCCAATAAGGCATTTTGATTTCCATTTGTGACAGAATTCTGAAGGAAAAATACTTGTCAGAATCCGAGAGAGAAAGCAATATGATTTTTCAGGATTAACAAACTCAGTCTCATCCTAAAATTTTAACAAAAATAATTGTAATATGTAGAACATTAGAAGAGTTATGCTTAGTTGCTCTAGCATTTTATATATCTTACTTCATTTGGCTTTCATCAAAATCTATAAAGATAATAAATGAAGAAGATATGAGTGACTGTATGGGACATTTAATGGCCTTGTCAAGGTAGTATGGCAAAATTCCAGGGATCATGTTCTTAACACACAGTAAACCATATTGCTAGAGCTGATATGCTTGAAGCCCAGGTTTTTTTTTATTTAAGAAGGTTTGCTCCACAGTTCATCAGATGACTCAGTCTCATCGATGATTCAGTTGTGAAGTTCTTACGATGACAACTCCAGGAACATGAAGAAGTAAGTTTCAGAACAGATTCTTGAGTCAGTCACATTCTGCCTACACATGCAAGAGATTAAATTCTTTTATAAATAAATAGGCGCAAAAATGTACGATAGATATTGTGAATCGAGAAGAAATCATTTAAAAGAAAAAATATGATGGAGAAAAGGGGAAAGGAAGAAAGGCAAAAAATATACAAGCATATGTACTCAAGATAGTTAAGATAGCCATAAAACTTTCCTTGAAAAATGTTTTGTGCTAATATTGTTCAGACAAGATATCATGTCTATATCCTGTGTTGTGAACAGCTACTACAAAAACAACAGTATGCAATATATCAACTATTATAACTGTCCTACTAACCTGTTTTTGTAACTCAGGTTCATTGTTTGTTTACCTTTTTTCTTTCTTTCTCCTCAAAATATTAAAAAAAAAACAGAACACTGAGCAATGTTATGGATAACGCATTCATGAAACACAATAAACTGACAAACATGTAATGTATCTGAATAGAAAGTTTTCCAGATATTTACTTTGTATACATTTACAGAAATTTAACCTCTTTGGCAAAATGTACTCACAAGTTCTACTACGAAGAAAGCTCTATGTTACAATGAAATTTCTAGACATAATGAATTATAGTTACATTTTGCCACAATGATAATGCAGAGAATATTCCATTTAAAATTTTTGTCTTTTTATACTTTATATAGAATGCTAAGCTATAGTTAAATGCAAAATTTTCTAGGCTTTTTAATTCTAGTTGTCAAAATAATGACTTGATCAAATTCCAAAGACAGAAAATTATTACCCTTTATGTCAATTTAAGTCTATGGAGAATAATATTTAAAAAAATAAAATGCTATGTTGATTGGTACCAATAATTCACAAGAAGAAAAAAAAATAAAGACTGCACTGAACAAAATTTTTAACCTTGTTAAAATAAATTCATTATACTTGACAAGAACTTTGCCATATTGGTTGCATTATTTGGTGATGAGAAAGAGATACAGTAAAGGAATTTTCAAGAAAAGCATCACAGTGGACTTTGGATCATAAATCTGACTGCAAAACATGGACCTTCCATAATAATTCCTTTTGAAATGATGTTCAAGGGCTCACCAAAAGCTTTAAACCATTAAATTATAAACAACCTTACTTACCAACCATTGTGGAACAGAATAATATATATGTAAGTCCACTTTATACTTTGAATGCTACTATATTACTAAAGAAACTGGAAGAGGAGCTGGGAAGCTGTGGATTTAGCTTAGAGGCTCAGTGCCTCCTGGTAAGTTCAATTCCCTGTACAAAAAAAAAAAAAAATGTAGAATAATATTTTAGACAGAGAATACTTTCTAGGGTAATTTTTGTTTTTTAAAATATAAACCTTTTTAGGTAGCATGTTTGTTTTTATTTTTTGTTTTTCAAGACAGGGTCTCGCTGTGTATTTCAGGCTTCCCTGGCCTCATGATGTAGCCCAGGCAGGCCACAGACTCTCGTGATCCTACTGCCTTCAGCCTCTTGAGTGCTAGGATTATAGATGTGCATCACCATATCCAGCTATAGTTAGCATGTATTATTTTTATAATCAAGAAGAAAATAAAGATTAAAATTAAGTGCAAAAAATAAATTCATTTATGGCAATTATTAAATTTAGGGGAAGTGGGTGATAGGAGACATTTTTAGAATTAATAGTTGCTGAAGTAGCTGGCATATCAGTCCACGTTACACACATTCCTTGAGTTTTTTAATGAATAAAAATATGAAAACTAATTTTCTCTATAAGAAAATTCATAGATTCTATAAGAATTATATCTGTATATAAGAGATTTATTACCTCAATTTTAGCATGCATTGTGTTCACTGGCCAGGTAAAGTTCAGGGCTGGCTTGTCTATGAGGCACAGCAGCATATGATTTGTGTCTGGACGGTTCTCTAGAATGAAGAACACAGTGTCAGTCCAGGCATAGTGGCACATACTTGCAACTCTTGCACTCAAGAGGCTGAGTCAGAAGGATCACTGTGAGTTTCAGGGCACCCGGGTCCCCACAGTGAATGCAAGGCCAATCTACACTACACAGAGAGATTCTATCTCAAACAAATAAAATAGGGTCAGGCAGGCAAACTCATCCCTATCTCTTGAAGGGCCAATACCCTCTAAAAGTATACCTTTGGAATGCAACATAATGGCCTACCGGGATTTTTATCCTGGCCCAAACTCCCAAGATTTATATCTGAGTTCTATGGAGAAGAACAGCTATGAGCTAAACTGAATTGTTTTGTTAAACACAGTATACTGTGAAACGCATTGAAATATAAGCAGCGTAGCTTTATGGAAAATCCCAACACATTTCCCAGACCTCTATGTAATGAAATAAAAAAATCCTCAATACTTAATCATGGAGGATTAAACTGTTTTGAAACACAAAGACATATATACTATTCAATATTGTGCAAGGTGGAGCATCCACAAGAATCTCTGATGACAGATCCAAGTGGAATTAGTCATCAGAAATAAAGTGGTTCATCAAACCTCACAATTCAAAATCCAAAAGAACACCAAAAAAAGAATCTGGAACAGAAGTGGAGAAGAAAATGTCAGATTATTTATATATGTAAATAACATGCACCTTGGTGACCTCACTTGAGCACATACTTGGACATTATTTTAAAGATGTTGGGCAGGAGAAGCATAGGAAAAAACCAATTGTATTCAATGCCTCTAGTTTTGTTCACAAACTGGTAGGTCTAGAGATGGACTCCTTTTATCAATCGTGATCATTTCATTCCCATCATGTTTGCACACAGGACTGTCTATATGAATTACTAGTGAGGTGTAATGAATTTCTGGAAAGGTCTTAAGTTCTACCTATATTCAAAGTAAAAATAAAACCATCTTGTATAAGAAGGTGTTTTTTGCCACATCCATAACAAATCTATTTATTCAACAAATATTCTTTTGATACCTAGAGTTTGCCGGAAATTTTGCTGTTTGTTGAGTTATTGATAACAAATCCTACCTACCTTCAATTGAATCAGGGAATCAGACATGTAGAGAGTCAAGGGCTAATAGTCCCTTGGGTAACTGTGGGAAGTCAATGAGGGTGAAAGAGAAAAACTTTTAAGATGTAAGAGGAATCAGAAGGAGTCTTTCTTCAAGTGGACCAATTTGCCAACCTATGTGTTTAACTTATCTTTGGTAACCAGGAAGAAGCACAGGTGGATGGGGTCATGCATCATTTGTGATACTGTTGAAGGAATATTTGAAAAATAAGGAGCAGGTGAAACTTTAAAAGAGGTAAACGTGAAAAGGGAAACAAATCTTTCTCCACACCCAGATCACTGCACCAGTTAATAGAAAGCTAGATTTCTTCCTATTGTCCTCAGCAGGCATTGTCTTCCCCTTAGAGCATTGTTCTTATGAGTTTTCCCCACACATCCATAACATACTTACCTTTTCACATAATTTTCCATTCTAGCAGCCAGACAACACAGACCTTAGGACTTAGGTCATCATCCTAACCCTTACACTGCTTAGTCCTCAACAGTAGACAAACACAACATGTGGTGTGAGCAAATACAGAGATGTTCCCAGTTTGATCAAAGTACAACGAAGGGCTCACCATGGTAGAGAATGATTTGGAAGTGATGACAATTCTGAGAGAGTGTGTGGGGACAGCACAAATCAGGAAGGAAAAGTGAGGTATAGCAGTACTGCATATACATGGCAGGAAGGCATCTTTAGGCAGACCCAATGAAATTTCCATTCTTGTGTCAGTCTTGAGTTTCCAGATGAGCTGACCAGTTGTGTCTCTCTGGTAGCAGAAAATCAGCACATGTATGTTCAGCATGCAATGCAGCTTACATGGAACTATCCAAGAAACGTCAAAGCCGGACTTTTCCTAAAGAGTTTTCCTGTTGATTTCTTTTGCTTCCATTTCTGTTTTTAACAAAGGCTTAAATAAAGACAGAAAATTAAATCTACTGTATTTTGCTCTCTTTTTTCGAATGTTCTGCCAAATGCAGCCACATCTCAAATATTGACGGTGTAAGATTCATTGTCTGTTTCACTGTGTTTCCCCCAGAAAATCTCATTTGTATCTGTAGCCTTATTTCTGAACAAGGATTAATCTGTATGATACATGGATTTTCACTCAACTTGCTGCACACCCCTGTATGAAAATATATAACTTATTTCAAACATAAATTCACTGTCTTTTTCAACAAATGTTTCATCATTTGCATATTTCCCTCCTTTGACTGCATGCTTATGTCCTGTTATTTGTCTATTCCCGTGGATTCTACCTTGAATTTAGCACTTGAATTATAAATTGAGTCCCTCGTTAGCTTTCCCTTGAATAATTCTTTGTCAAATATAAATACTTGTGTGTTTATTTGGTAACATCTAAAAATGGCTTGGGAAATACTGCGTAGTATGAACTGAGGGACTAGGTAATGAAACAAACAAATGATTTAATAAGTTAAAGAGTAAATTATACAGAACACAAAGAATTCTTGAATGGAGCATAGGAAAAACTTTGACTAACACATATGATGACTTTGCGAGAATCATCGAAAATGTGTCCTCTGGAGATCGCAGCCCGAGACCCGGAGTCAGGCGTATCTTGCAGAGAGCACTGGCACACCCAGCCCTGTGCACCCAGTGTCACAGGCTTGCTGCAACTGAACTTGTTCTGCACAATTTCTGTGCAGCTGTAAGCACAGGGGAGGTAATTTGGAGGTGGCACACTGTACAACTTCAGTGTGAAGGAAAGATTGACTTTATCATGAGATCTCATTTCAAAATTTTATAGATACCTGATCAGTAAAAAGAAATATTTAATATCTTAATTATGACTTCAAATAATTACACTGGTGAGGCAGAATGAACAGCTATTGAACAGTGTATCTTAAGGTGTGTGAAAGGGCTCTAAGGTCAACTGCAAATCTCGAGCTTTTTCTTTTCAGTTCCTATAAATTTTCATGTCTCTTCTAGGTGAATCACTTTGAAAACAACATGCATTTCCAAAAGTTTCTCAGCATTAGCCTTCAAATGCCAAACGCCAAAATATAGAAATACATACTTCATGAAAAACTGTAACAGATGATCTGATTTTATAACTATGGCTTCTTTTATTGAAGTCTGGAAATATTGATGAAGTACTATAATAGATGAAATATTCAATATGTTGCATATATTTTATCAGTACAGATATAACTACCAGTAAAATTTGGATTTTGGTTGAGTAATTATTAATCTCTTTCCTCATCATCTTTGTAACTATTTATACCAAAGAAATCTATTATTTTGGTCTTGTAACTTTTCAGGACCATAGCCACCATTAATGTTTCTGAGTAGATTATTTATTTGGAAAAACTATTATTAAAATTAGATGGTGTCTAAATATTTTTAAATGTTGTTAAATCATCTTCACTCAAAAAAATTCTCATGGAATGTCAAGGTTTGCTGTTAATTTAAAGAGTACGAACAGTGAAAAGGTATAAACAAAGCTAGGAGAGTTCCATCTTGTCCGGAGAAGTTTCCCAGTTCCTGCCTTCTCTCTTTAGTAGACTGAACCAAAATAACAAAGTATCTAAGGAAGTATACAGGACAATAGAGCATTTACCTATTTACAAATTACATTTTATGGCTCAGATAGTTTCTAGGAAGCCAGACTTCCTAAAACAAGATTACAGTTTATCTGTCCACCAGTAATAAACCATGGAAAATTAGCTAAAAATATTCTATAGATAAAAATCCTTTAACAAATACTGTTAATCTATTTGCTAGTCTGCTCAATTACCATTTTTTATAGAGTTAGGCTAGGTCATCATTCAGCTTTCTCTTTCCTGGTTGCCTCTGCATCCACCCAAACAGATAAGAAATGAGCCACAGGCAGTTGTAAATTTTCTTCTTCTCAATCACTAGTAGATAAGTTGAAAGGAAATTGTGTGAGTCATGACTCATTTTCAAACTCAGTTCCAGTGCACTCCATCTTTGTGAATTATACTTTGTAAATGTCACCAAAACTGTGTTAAAATTGTTATCAATAAATCATACAGAAAGTTTTTCATGCTCAAATCATGTATGAGATCATGTATGAGTCAAATGTTTATTTTAAATGAATATAATTCAAATAATCTCTAATGTGAAAAATATTACAGACATTAAAGGTTTTAA